TCACGTCAGCACAGAAATGGAGGGAAGTCCACTCCTGTGCACACACGTGTGCCTGCGGTGACGACAGCAAGCTCTCAACAGACACCAAAGACAAACGTCTCCATTTTATCGCCTCCAAAGGGTAAACTTTCAGAAACTCCAAAAATGGTAGCAATCTCTGCAAATCAGTGTCTCTTGCTCGGCCCTGCATCCTGGCATCCAGTGGGTGGGGCCGGAGATGCTGCTCAACACCCCACAGTGCCCTGGGTTGCCTCCCACAGAGAGTGACCCCGCCCCAATGTCCACAGTATCCAGGGGGAGACCCAGCCCCACCTTGGTGCTCACGCGGCCAGGCTGTGCCCCCACCCGCCCCAGTGCAAAGCTTCTCACTGGTCTTTACCCCTAACTGTCTGTCCTACACATGGGTATCAGCCCCACCTCTCTGCCCCCTGAAAAAACTTATTGTCACCACACCTGTGGAGCTCATGGAATATACGGGCCTGGGCTCTGAGCTCCATCACCCCCAGGGACCCCAACTCAGAAAGCCAGGTCAGGGACAGAATGGTCCTGGGTGCCCTGTCTCCACACTTCCCCATGGGCTCACACAAGCATCTTATTCACATGGCACTCCCGGTGCCTGACACACGTTCTAATGCTTAAAATAGGCATACAACCAGCCTTTGTTGGGGAGAGGAAGGAAGGAAGGGAGGTCTTGGACAAAGGGGACAGCAAGCCAGCCATCCAGAAGCCCTGGGCATGTGCCAGGGTGGGCTGCAGGGGCAGTGGGAGAAGACGGTTCCTGGAGTCAAAGTGAAGGTCGCTCAGGAAAGGTAAGGTGGGGCCAGCTCCCACAGTGCCATGAAGGCTGTGTAGCGGATTCTGATTGGCCGAGTGGGTGATGAGCTGGTGAAAGTAGCAGGGTAAAGACAAACCAATCTGTGCTTCAGAGAGCGGACCCTGGTCCTGTGGGGTCAACCCAGCAGAAGAGGAAAGACTGGAGGCTGGTCCAGCAGCTGGGGTGCTCTGAGCAAGAGATAGTGAAGCACTTAACTCAGGGAAAAGGGACACAGATGCAAGAGACAGAGGTAAAACCTAGAGGGCTGACACCGGACGACCCCCCAAACTTCGGTTTAGTGGGCTGTGGACTTCCCAGAGAAAAGCCATTTATTTATTTTTATTTTTTTAAATTTATTTATCTTTAGAGGGGAAGGGAAGGAGAGAGGGAGAGAAATATCAATGTCTGGTTGCCTGTCATGCATCCCCTGTTGGGAACTGGCCTGCAACCCAGGCATGTGCCCTGACTGGGAATCGAACTGCGATACTCTGGTTCGCAGGCCCGCCCGCACTCAATCCACTGAGCGACACCAGCCAGGGCCGAAAAGACATTTAAATAGCAGCATGATTTGCCCTAGCCATGTGGCTTAGTTGGTTGAAGCGTCATCTGTGCACCTAAGGTTGTGAGTTTGATTCCTGTCACAGAGTACACACCTAGGTTATGGGTTTGATCTCCGTTCAGGACACATACAGGAGGCAATCGATTGATGTTTCTCTCTCACATCAATGTTTCTGTCTCTCTCTCTAAGACCAATTTATATATATATATATCCATTCTCAGGTAAGGATTAAAAAAAAAAAAGATAGCAGCATGATTCCTCACTGCCAAAGCTGGGAGAAAAGCAACCGAGATGTCTATCAATGGATGAATCAATACAATGTGTCTACTAACACACTGGAATATTACTCAGCCATGAAAAGGGGTGAAGCATTGATACCCGCTACAATGTGGATGAACCTTGAATACAACTCACATGATGCTCACACAAAGCTCAGTGAGAGAAGCCAGACACAAAAGGCCACACACTGTGTGATGCCACTTATGTGACATGTCCAGATCCGGCAAGTCCAGAGACCAAGAGTGGGTCAGCGGTTGCCAGAGAAGAGATGGGGAGGTGACTACTGACGGGGTAGGCGATTTTATTGGGGTGATGGAATGTGTCAAAACAGGCTTAGGGGGATGGTTGCATAACTTGATAAACTTACCCCCAAAACTGAACTGTGTGCTTAAATGATTGGAAATTATACCTCAATTTAAAAAATAAAAAACAGTAAGACTTTCCCCTTTGCAAGGTCCTCAAGGAGAACTAGTAGCCATTTCTGGAAGTCTCAGAGCTGCCCAAAGCTCCCCGCCCTCCCACTGGCAGGACAAAATGCATGGAGAGAATTCAGCTAATCAACACCCTGCAGGGTGGTCAAGAAGAAGGATGAAGTGACCTCCTGGGTCAGGTCGCCCCACCTTTTCAGCTCCCCCTGATCTGGTTTCTAAGGTCTCCTCGGTAATATATGTAACAAACTCTTTTCTCCAGACCGTGAAGAAAGGGCCACCCCAAAAGGCAGCAGAAGATAAAAGGGATGAAAGTCAAGGTGCAGAACTGCCAAAAGGAACAGTGGAAGCAGGGGAGGCTCCCCGACAGTGGCAGGAGCTGGCCCTGAAAGGACCCAGGCAGGGGGTGAATGGGAGACAAAGCTTTACCGGCTGTTGTTGTCCATTAAGACAACGTTTGTAAAAAATTACTTTCAAGAATACAAATGACCCAGTAAATACAATTTGAAAGGCGATTATTTGCTTCCAGGTGCAAATGAAGAGACCTGTGATAACAGCTTGGATGGAAGATGTGTTTTTACACTATACACGGTGGACCAAACACAAACGCCTCCATTCAGTAAACAAGAAGCTGAATCCTCTGTGTGGCAGGGCCCAGGATTTACGAACAAGAGCAGAAAACAGCGTCGGTCACAGCATCTTCCCTACAGAAGACCTGAAAAACTCAAGCTTCATGCTCTAGGTCAAAACCAAGGAAGCGAATTACACACTTCGGCAACTTTCAATGCCTGCAAAGATCACTTAATCCCATATTCAAAACCAGTCTCAGTGGTTGAAAGCCACACAAAAGACTTACCTAGAAAGAGGTCAGTGTTTCTAAAATGCTCTCAAATCAATGTGATTTTTTTCCTCTTAAAATGAGAACACTAGATAATTTAAAAACAACCTCCAAATATGGGCTTAACTCTTCCTAAGACTCAAAGGTGAGATGTGGTCTTTTAAAGGAAACGTAGTTTTATTTATAAACAGGGGGTCTCAACTGGGGCAATGCTACCCCTAAGGGACACTGGGTGCTGTCTGGGGACAATGGTAGTTGTCACGATATGGGGTGATCTTAGCATCCAGTGGACAGGGCCCAGGAATGATGCTCAGCACCCCACAGTGCCCAGGACAGCCCCAAAGTCAGCTGAGCCCATGAAGGGACCCAGGTCTATCAGAGTAGATAAATAACCACGGCCCAGTGGTTCCTGCCGAATGGCTCCTCGGGATACACCTAAATCAGAATGCCAGCACAGCCTGCTCTTAAGTAGACACGCTTGTTCCTTAACAAAACTTCAGAATCTCCTGGCATCAGATCCAAGCGGATTCTTCTTTTTCTGTTTTTTTTTTCCTCCCTTTTAATAATAGGGACTTTTTTTTTCAAGAGTGATTCTTATGTGCACCCCCAAGGTTAAAAAACTCGAGTCAAGCTCTGACTTCTTCCCTCCCCTCCCTAACAACCCAGTTCTACCCACCCACCTTTCCTCCCTCCCCCCCAAAAAAACCTTAATTTAGAACATTATTATCAATGCTGCACGTACCCTCGACATGTGCCAGGAGTGTGCTAGGTGCACGCATTCTCTCGTTTGACTTTGACTTTCCCAGCGATCCCATGAGGTGCCTGCTACTGTTTTGTTATTCCCACCTTATAGAGGAGTCAACTAAAACTCCCAGAGGCCACTTGGCCAAGCAAGAGTCCGATACAGTATGATACAGTGTTAATTTCTGCACTACACTGTTAATCTTAAGGAGACCTCCACATCTGAGGAACAAGTTTGTGAACTTGGCCTTTGCTTCACTGACACCTAGCAACAGTGGGAGCCTCTTCCCTGCTGCTCATCATGCCTGTCTTCTCCCACCTACCTGCCAGCCCCTAGCAACCCCGTTCCCCAGGAAAAATAAAGTGCCAAACTGCTGCCCACATCCCTCAATATTATCATACCGAAAACTCCCACTTTGCTTCCTTGCTCCTGAGCCCAAAAATTCCTGAAAAATTCAGCCTCCAACCCCAGCATTTTCTGCTTCCCAACATGCTCTCTATGCACCCAACATCCCAGACACAGACCTTGCAAAGTAAGTGGAACTCCTCCTCCAGCTCACTGGTGCCAAGGGGATTCCACCCCACACCCGCTTCTACACCAAATGATTACAATCCCCGCCCCATGAAGTGGAGACGAGTCCACTTCAAAATCCTTATAACTGACTTCCAGTGAAGACCCCCCATTTCCTCCTGGTTAGTCAACTTTCCACAAAACACCTGCCATCCCTCTGTCCCACCATCACTAGGTCCCCCACCTTCTTTCTCATCACCCCTAGCACTCTCTCCACATCCCTCCGACCCCTTCTGAAAGGAGCCTGACCCACCTCCATCCCTCCGCCCTCCCTTCACTGCCCTCCAGCCCCTTTTCAGCTTGCCCTAACCCCATATTCCTCAGTCACCCTTCCTGGCCAACTCGACCCCCAACTCCATTCCTCAACCCCTTCTCCAGCTAACCTCCACCTTCAACTCCACTTCCAGCCTCCTCCCCAAATAACATTCACCCTCAACTCGAACCCTGTGCCCCTCCCCAGCTAACTCAGACCCCCCCCCCCAATTCCATCCCCAGCTAATCGCTATCTTCAACTCCACTCCCGGCACCTCCTCAAATAACCTTCACCTGCAACTCGAACCCTACCTCCTCCTCAGCTAACCTCGACCTCAACTTCAATCACCTCCCCAGCTGACCTCGACCCCCGAGGTCCGCAGCCAAATGGGAGCCCTCTCAGTGCTCACCTCCTGGGCTGCCCGGGCCTGCCCTCCGCCCCAGCCGCGCCCCGACTTCCAGTGCCAGAGTTTGGGGCGTCGGATCCCTGCCCGAGACGCGACCGTAAGCGCCCTTACCTGTGCTCCAGCAGACGCGGCCGACTCAGCCCCGCTGCGCAGCCGAACCCGCCGCCCAGAGCTCAAGCGCTCCTTTGCCTCTGGGGGCAGGGCTGGCGCGCGGTGGGTAAGCACCGGAGGCCTGTGCAGCCAATCGCCGGCCCCGGCAGCGGGAGCCGGGCCTCGGGCGAGGCGCAGGGCAAGCAGCGGGGTAGGCTGCGCCCAGAAGAGAGGGCGGGGCTCAGAGCGGGAGACGGGCCTAGAGGTAGAGAGCTGAGTGGCATTGTCGCTGGCCACTTGCGAGCCGGGACCGCACGGGGGGCGGGGCCATATTAATATGCAAATAGACCGTTGTGTGGGACTCTGCAGCCCGGCAATACGCGAATTTTCAGAGGCGTGTTGGTGACGTCGAGGAGGCGCTGTGTTTTCGCAAGTTCGAATCCCGAATCGTACTTGCTGGGGCTCGCTTGCGGGGCAAGATGACTGTCCCCTGCTGGTCAGTCGCGTGATCTGCAGGACACTAATAATAAATACTCCCTTTCGTTGAACCCTCTGCTTAAAGCTAGAGAAATGATGAAATGCCAATTTTATGGAGGTGGAAATTGAGTCTCACAGAGGTTAAACCCAAGGTCATTCACCCAAGCCTGTCTCATAATTTCCCGGATTTATCAGTTTCCTAACTCCTGGGCCTCCACCCATATGGAACGATCCAGAATCCTACAGGAACTGGACCCCAGTAATGCGCATTTTAAAGATGCTCCTGTGGTGAAGTTGGAAAACATTTAGTGTGTCCAAAAGCATCCAGAGGTCATGGAGGGGAGAGTATTTTATACCGAAGGATGTAGCCACTATATTCTGGACTTGAGGAACTTGGTGCAACACTGAGGCTTTGGGATCTGAGCTGCGGACCTCCCAGCTGGGCGCCCCAGGGGTCCTGCCATCCTTGCAGGAATCTCCCTGCTCATCCCCGGCCGCTCACAGAAAAAACTAGGCATCCGGGACGGGCGTCTCACTCCCCAGTCGACAGCCGCTCAGAGGGACTGCTGTCTGAACAAGAGTCGAAAACTAGTCTCACACCAGGCTTACTGCCTGAATGAACGAGGGTCTCAAACTTGTCCCGGGGTGGGCAAAATGTAGCCCAAACATACTTTAAATTTTTTTAATTCATTGCCAACATTTGCCCTGGCTGGTGTGGCTCAGCGGGCTGAGTGCCAGGCTGCTGGTTCTATTCAGCCAGGGCACCCACCTGGGCTGCGGGCCGGGTCCCCAGTTAGGAATGTGTGAGAGGCAACTGTCTGTCTCTGTCTCCTTCCCTTACTCTCCCCTTAAAAATAAAATGAATAAAATATTTTTAAAAATTCAATGGCAAAAAAATTTTCATTGGCAACATTTAAAATTGTTTCACAAAGAGAAATCCAGATTTCCAGGATCTCTGGAGAAATCAGGTCTGGTGATTGCTGCAGCAGCTGGATGCAGCAGCTGGATGAAGCAACTGCAAAGCTTCCAGCAAAGTCAGGACTGGAGTGAGACAAAAGATGCATTTTTCTCAAATCCAAAACCTAAACGGGTAGAGGAAAAAAAGCCTTCACCATCAAGAGAAATACTATGTTGATAACATATTTTAAAATGTCAAGTTAAATGCTGAAATAATTCAGAATGAACAAAACACCAACATTTTCAAGAAAGACAAAATGTGGTTCTGCACTTACGCAAACCACCCCCCTTGGTTCTCCCTACCCTGGACCCTGTCAAATCCTGTCCTTCTGTAAAAGACTGATGCAGCCCTGGCTGGGGGGCTCAGTTGGTTGGACCGTCGTCCTGTACACCAAAATGCCATGGGTTCTATTCCTAATCAGGGCACATACCGAGGTTGTGGTTTAATTCCAAGTCAGGGCACATAACAAGGGCAGCCGATTGATGTTTCTCTCTCACATTGATGTTGCTCTCCCCTTCCCCCCACCCCGGGCCACACCTCCTTCCTTTCTCTCTGAAATTAATAGAAACATATCCTCGGGTGAAGATTAAAAAAAAGAGTGCCAACAGCACATATACTAAAAAATTGGAATGATACAGAGAAGATTAGCATGGCCCCTGCACAAGGATGGCATGCAAATTCATGAAGCGTTCCATATTAACAACAACAAAAAATTGATGTATTGTTCATTGTGGCTTCCTTTGCATTAAAATACGTTTCCCCATGGCTAAGATTGTTGGCACCCCCCACCTTAAGTTTTGCACCTGTGATGAGTGCTTCTCTCTCCTCACCTAGTCCTGCCCCTGCTTATAAGTTTGTAAACTCAGGCCTCAGCCATTTAGCAGATGGAGAAACTAAAGCCCTATGGGTTCCTCTCCATGTAATATATGGCTCACAGAGCCTGCCTCATCTCCTGAACTGGCTGAAATAAATGTAGTGCCAGCAGCACTTGTGAGGTCCTGCGGGGACCACAATGTTCCCATGACATCCCATTGTCCTTTTTATAAAAGCCCATACTCTTCCCAGAGCCCACTGGGCCATTTCACCCTGCTCACCTCTCTCATCTCCTTGGCTACTACACTTCCCTCACTCCTCTTCTGCCACTCTGACTTTCATTAGTTCGTGCCTCAGGGCCTTTGCACATACTGTTCTCCCAGCATGGGGCTCCACTGCAGATCAGCCTCTTGGGGCTGGCCTCTATTTTGCCTTCCTGTGTCAGCTCACTGTCACATTCTCTATCAGCCTGGCCTCCCTAACTACCCAGACTCTGCCCCCATGTCACTTTTGTGTTCCAGGTTTTCTGTCTTCACACCATGTACCTGAAGTGATCTGATTCAGTTCTTTGGCAGGGGGGATGAACTCTCCCCCAGTAGGTGATAAGCTCTGAGAGGGCAGGGGCCCTGGGCTTTGGGTCTGTCATTGCTGTGTGTCCAACATCCAGGAAAGGTCCAGGCACACAGCAGGCGACTATTACATTTGGGGCGAATGAATGGATGGATGGATGGATGGATGGATGGATGGTGTCTCCGTTCTTCCTCCCTGCTTCTGTTCCTGAAGCAGGCCTTATCTCTTCCAACTGAGATGCCTGCCTGGCCTGGTCTGAGTGGGCAGGGTGGAGGCTGGAGCAGCAGATGAGAAGTCACACAGGGCACATAGAGGGGTGAGGAGGAAGCTGCTCCTTCCCTGCTCCTCTCCCCTACCCCGGGCTTTTGTGAGCAACCCTAGTTACCCGCTCTGTGAGCCCTACAGGGAAATCGCCCAAGCTCACAGAAAGTCCAGGGAAGGTGCCCCACGTAACATGTACAGAGTGGATGAGAAACTGAGGCTCAGGGGAGAAGCCTGGGCCAGAGCCACACAGCGCCTCCTCTGGCAGAAGCACTAATCACAGACTGCTCCTGCCTCTCCTTTCCTCATGGCCCTCTCCACCTGTCACATCCCCATCCCTCACCTCCCCATAGCAACATGGCTCTCACCACCTACTTCTCAGTTTCTCCCCTCCTCACCTCCATTATTCACCCATCCCTCACCTCTTCCATCCCTCACCTTCCCATCCTTCATGCCCCCATCCTTTGCAGATGGCCAACTGACCCTCACACCCCAAAAAAGGAGCACCTGTGGGGAATATAGGATCCACTTCTTTATTGCAGGAAGACTATTTCTAGAGCGATGCTAAACAGACCCCACAATGAGGAGTAGGGGCACCCACATGCAGAGGGAGAGGGGGCGGGGGTGGGATCACGGCAAGCATGGCCTGGCACCTGGCACGGTCCTCAGACCCAGGGATACCCAGGCAGGAAAGGCCAACAGCCAGGGCAGGCTCTGTCCCCTCCTGCTGCAGAACTCCTCTGTCCCTCGGGTCAGGGTAGGGCCTAAAGCGGAAGAAGCCTGGAGGGGCGGGGCCCCAGGGAGATTGTGCTATCAGGGTGTGTCCCTGAGAAAGGGCTGCAGACCCCTGCCCAGCCTCACCCGCTCAGGCACCTTCAAGGCCCAGGAACCATTCTAAAGATGGGGAAGAGGCAACACCAGCTGCTGGTGGGCTCTGGACCTGCCACAGGATAAGGGGACTCAGCTGTGCTCAGACAGAACGCTACCAGACCATCCATGGGCCTGTCCACGTGCTTGGCGGTCACACAACTCACACACACGCCCTCTCTCTCTGTGTGCCCCATAAATATCTGTGGAGTGAGCAATCACATGAACAAAGAGAAAAATAAACACCCTGTTACTAAGTTGGACAGAAACAGTACCTCGTATCCACATACAGTCCCATGTGGTCACATGGTCAGACAGCCACTTGGCTTCTGTCTCTCACACATACACGTGCAGTTCAGTCTCAGCATGCACAAGCACACGCAAGCACATAACACATGCAGCTTTCTGACACCCACTGACACCCGGTGCTCATGAGGCCGGGCCTGAGGGCAGTTCCTGCAGACAGCCCGAGGCCCTCAGTCCTGCAACCACAGAGAACTGAACTGAGCGGTGCTGACAAGTGCTTGAGCTGGGCAGTGGGTCCTTCCCCAGACAGGCTTTCAGACGAGATCAAAGCACTCTGACTCCAGCCTGCTGAGACCCTGAGCAGGGGACCCACATAAGCCATGCCTGGTCTCCTGAACCACAAAAACTGGGAGATGATAAATGTGTGTAGTTTCAAGTTGCTGAGTTTGTGGTCTTTGTTACGTAGCAGTAGCTGACAGACACCTTGCTACAGAGTAAGACAGGCTTACTCTGCCTCACATGTCAAGAACCAGCAGGTTCGTAGATGCTTTCTGACAAATCCCATCACCCACTCCCGAAACACAGACACTTGTGGTCACGCGTGTGCTGTTATACCACAAGTGTCCTGACCTGTGAATAGCCACAACATACCCGCCCTGTGTTATTCTACACGCAGACTGACTGTCTCACACGCATACCACCCCAGTGACAGACACAAACACAGGCACAGACACTGACACACGTGTAGACACACTGGCCCCTATACAGCAATTTGCACAAGTACACGATCCCATGGTCACTCCCCCCTCCCCAGGCCTATGGGTCACCTTCATTGCCAGACACAGCCCCACAGGGTCCCACGAGTATACAGTTATCTAGACACATACACCAAAACACTCAGAATCTCACGGTTGTAGAGACACCTCAACTCCAGGACACACACCATCCTGGGGGGGTCCCTTCTCTGGGGTGCAGGTGGTGGAAGTGGGCTTGGCAGGGCTCTACCTGAAGCCCTCTCAGATCCTGCTGATGGTGAGCCCAGCCACCTGCCACTGGGCGGGGCCCCAGGCACCCCACCCAGCACCCCAGACGCCTGCTCAGAGCTCAGGGGTGACACACTGTGCCAATCTCTGTCTGTGGTTTGTGTCCAGGAAGGCCCCCCTCTTTCATATCAGGCAGTCTCCACGTTGTTCTGCGGCCATCAGCCAGTCCTGGGTCTCCCCTGCCTGTACCTCAGGCTGTGAGAGAAGTAGGGTTCCTGGCTGGCAGGGCGTTGCTGCAGGCCCTATGGTTATTGCCTGGTGGCCTGAGGCCCATCCTGCAAGCCACAACCCCCAAGCTGTGGGGACAGAGGTGAGAGGGATGGTCTGGGGCCCGGGATAGAGAGCACAGGCCAGAGGTCATGAGGAACAGAGGTGGGGGTGGGGGGAGTGTATGTTAAACACCGAATAGGAGAAAACAAAATCTGAGGTCCATGTGCATTTCCATTCCTCCCTTCCCGGCAAGGTCACAGTGATCTGATGGGTGGGGGAGGCACAGGTCTGGCTGGGGGCACACGAGGTAAAGGGGAAGACGTGGGGCTCCTGGGCGAAACAGAGACAGGGGAGGATGGGGAAACTCAGTGTCCTCGATCCCACAGGGACAGGCGGCTTCCCATTTCCCCGTGTACAGACCGAGGGGGTCTCATCTAGCACGTGGCTTCGGGAGTACGGACAGGAGGGTGGGGGAGAGAGATGGCGCAAAGGCAGAGGGATGCGAGAGAGCTGGCTCGGAGCCCCAGACCTGCAGGGCTCTCCAGGGCCTCGGTGTCCCCATCAGAGATGTCGGATGACAGCAGAGAGGTGGAAGTGATGAGAGAGGGGTAGAGAGAGGAGGGGACGAGGGGGAGGAAGCGGAGAGGAGGAGAAGGCAGTGGCTGCAGGGTGATGTGAGAGAGGCATGGGGCCAGGAAAGGGGCTGGCTGCAGGCGGGCGTCCCAGGCTCACATGAGGACGCATTTGCCCTTGATGCGGTCTGTCCTCTTCTGTTTGCTGGAGCGCTTGCCATCGATGTTGAGGCTCATGTTCCGGCGTGTCTCCAGCGTGAGCAGCTCCTGGAAGAGCTCCTTGACGTTGTAGTTCATCTTGGCCGATGTCTCCATGAAGGCGCACTTCCACTCCTGGGCCACAGCCTGGGCCTCGCGGGTGTCCACCTCCCGCTGCGTCTCATCACACTTGTTGCCCACCAGCATGACTGGAATGTCCTCCACGCTGCCCTTGATCTGCACAATGAGCTGGTAGATGGGCCCCAGCTCCTCCAGCGACTGCTTGCTGGTGACGGAGAAGACCAAGATGAAGGCATGGCCCTTGGAGATGGACAGCCGCTGCATGGCTGGAAACTGGTGGCTGCCTGTGGTGTCAGTGATCTGCAGTGTGCACACGCTCTTGTCACAGCTGATCACCTGTCGGTAGGTGTCCTCAATGGTGGGGATGTAGGTGTCTCGAAATGTGCCCTTCACGAAGCGCAGCACCAGGGAACTCTTGCCCACACCACCGGCACCGAACACCACCACCCGGTAGTCATTACTCTGCTCAGGCATCTTCCACACCAGGGGTGGGGGGCGGAGCTGGGAGGGCTTGTGCCAGCTGCTAGGACCCCAGGCTGACCCTGTACAGAGAGGAGTGTCAGATGCAAAAAGCCACCCAGCCAGGAGGGAACAGCTCCAGGCCCGGAGGCATGAGGGGTGGCTTCTCAAAGGAGGTGGCATTTCTCCTGTGTCTTGGGAAGGCCCTTCCAGTTGATTTGGCTGATTTTGCAATTCTGCCCTGCATGCAGGCTCAGAGCCAGACCCCTCTGCTGGTTTCCCTTCCAACAAAATCTGGGGCCTAAGCTCCTTCCCAGAGGACTGGAAGGGAAGTGAAAGTGACTCCTTCCCCCACATGCACACTCCCCCAGCCACTCCTCAGGCTGAACGGGCTTTTCCATCTCTTTCCAGCTTGGCCATGGGCTCCAGCAGGCCTGGCTCTGTGACCTGGGCAAGATGCTTGGCCTCGGTTCCCCCTGCTGCAAAGTAGGTGACATGGTGCCTCTCTCCAAATATCAAGGGTTCCCCTTAGCCAAGAGGCTCCTTAATTTTGTAGGAGCCACGTGATGGGGCATCTTTAAAATGCAGCTGGAAGAGCCTCAGCCCTGGGAATGATTAATTTGTGGCCCTGGGCACCTGCATTTTGAAGCCACTCTCGTGCCCTCATCCCATAAGCTCAATCCTAATCTGGAGGCCCCAGAACCTCAATGTGCAAATCTTGACACTGATTTCCTGCAGCAGCCCCGAGAGGCAGGGATGCACAGCCCAGATTGGAGATGAGGAAGTTAAAACTGAGGCCAAAGAGAAAAATACCTACTCCTTAAACTCTGCACTCAGACCATGGTCTGCCCTCCCCAGCCTCCCGTTCAGGTCCTGTATATCCATATCCACAGGCACAGATGTATATCCACTGCCCTCCCCAGGAGGGGGGTCCTCTTATCATGTCTACCCCCTCTCCTGAGCTCAGAGAGGTTCAGTGGCCTTGGGAGTTCACACAGCACAGTAATTCCTTACAATGACAGAGGTGGAGAAGGAGCCATGGGCTGGGGGCCAGAGCCAGGGGTCCTTATTTATAGAAAACAGGAAAGAACTCATCCCTTCCTGCTTTCCAGCTGTCTCTAAGCATGGGTGTGGGAGACACAACAGGATCACAACTCAGCCAAGTTACCTCACTTAAGTGTGTGAATGTGTGTGTGTGTGTGTGTGTGTGTTTAAGGCCCGATGGTATGAGCCAGATTTGTGTCCTTAAGCCTCTGTTTTCTCTGTGCGACTCAAGTGGTTGTAGTACCCACTCCCTGAAGACACCAGGAAGAGAGTGTGATAAGCCAGAGAAAGCCCTTAGGAAGGTGCTGGGCATAAGGGAGCCCTCCGTAAGGATGGACAATTGGGATTGTTGATCAGCGGGGCTCAGAGCATAAAGCCCTTGGCCTGTAGTGGGCTGGGAAGGCATGTTCTGAATGATCGAAAGTATCAGGTTTGTCAGAAAAAGATATACAATAAAAGTAACAGCCAGCATATACTCCAGAAATTATGTGCCAGCCAAACTTCCGGGAGTTTTAGTAGCACTAACTCGCGATGGGCTGCTAGGCATGTTGGTGACATGGTGACAAGCATGGCAGTGGTCCGCATAAGAGGACGCTGTGTGTGGGGCTGGCGTCGAGTGCCGACCAGCTCTGCAGCCAATGCCCTTTCTGAGGGGCTGCTCTGTGGAACGGGCACACAGCGTGCAGCCAGGCACAGCCACAACTGGCCTGGGGGCCTGGGGAGCCCAGTGACAATCAGTTCGGCTGCCCCAGACCCGGCCCTGGCTGTGCTCTGGGTACAGACCCCCCGAAAGGGCTCCAGGTCAGTCAACAAGGGTGTCCTGCAGGAGGGACCTCTCTGGGAACTGGGATCCCCAACTAGGAGCCCCCACTCATCATCCCCAGTCCATGCCAGGCACACATCTGGTGCCTTTTGAAAACCACCCTCACCTCCTGCAAGGCAGGGGTCGGGGCAGAGGATCTCAGGCACTGAGGGTCAGAGGGGGGAGACACTGGCCAAAAGTCACAGAGCAGGGGGGTGGCAGAGCAGAACAGGATTTGAACTAGTCTTCGCTGGCCTCACAGGCCGGAGTCCTCCCCCTGTGCAAAGCAGCCCACCCTGAGACCTTAGGGAATCAGCCTAGCCCTAGGTCCCCAAAGCCCAGCTGGGGGAAATTGCAACGACCTCCGGTGCTAGAAAGCAAAGCAGGCCGGACCCAGGGGAGGGCCTGGGGGCATGCTTGCCAAAATTTCGGAGGGGAGGGCGGGTCTGACCAGAACTAATGAGGGGCTTGATGAGAGAGGGCCTGCTCTAGGGGGCAGAGAGAGGGACACACATACTCAGGGGAGCAAGCCCAGGGGCTCCCCTTGGCGAAAGAAGGATCTAAGTAGTAGGGGTGGGGACCCCACCAGAATGGGTCTCCTGAGTGACGGAGGGCTTGGCAGAGAGGGCAGGAGGGTTGAGCGGGCAGCGGTGGGTGAGAAAGGCTCAGGGCCCAAGTGGCTCCCCGTGGAGAGGTCCTGGCTGAGCAAGACGACCAACCCAGACAGCGAGGGTTAGGGGGGCTGGAGAGGGGATGGCTTGGCCGCGGGGGCGCGGGGGCGGGGGAAGCGTGGGGGAGGGGAGGAAGCTGAGCGGGAGCTGTCCAAGGTGGGAGCGGAAGGCAGAGGGGCCAGAGACAGGGGAAGGGCTCCGGTGCAGGGCCGGGCGGGAGGAGGGCCTGGCTCCTGAGGCTGGCCAGGAGGGTGGGGCTCGGACAAAGGAGAAGCGCGCTGAAAAGGGCCCCGCGGGCCGAGCAAGTGGGATGCAGCAGGCCCCGCGCCCCGGCCCCCGCCCCGGCCGCCTACCTGGGCGCTCGTCCCTGCGGCGCCGCGGCGGCTGCTGCTGGCGGGTTCCGAGTCCGCTCCCGCGCCGCCGCCCCCCGCGCTCCCGCCGCTCTCGCCGCCGCCGCCCGCCCGAGCCGCCGCCGTGCCCGCGCCGTCCCCGCCCGCCTGCTGGGCGCCGCGCTCCGCCCCTCCCCGGGGACCCGCGCCCCCGGCCAAGGTCACTGCTGCCCTGAGCCCCGCCTCTGTGAGCTCAGCCCCACCCAGACCCCCACCCCGCGCCCCTAGCACTCGACTCCACCCCGCGTCCTTAGCTCTGGACCCCAGCTCCGGGTCCCCACCCAGCCCGGCGAGCGTACAGCCCCGCCCGGACTCCCGCCCGCGCACGTGGGCTTCTGCTCCCCCCGCCCCCTCCCGGAGGTCCCTAGGACGCAGGGGAGCGAATGGGGTGGGGTCTGCTTTCTCCAGAGCCCAGAGTGGCAGCTGGCGCAATCAGAGTTACCCCGAAAACTCGGTGATGGGCAAGAGGGAGGAAGAATCGAAGTCACCCCAGGGACGAAGGGAAGAGGCTGTTAGCAGAACTGCAGATAAGGGGGCTGGGGTAGCAGAATGGGAGACCTTGGGGTTGGTGGGGGGTCATGGTCCTGCTCAGGAACCCTCCTCCAGAGGAGGTGCTTGATGGAATAAATAATCAACCAATAAGTACTATATTGTTTTATTAACCAATGTCATGCCGATAAATTCAATAAAAATTAAAAAGAAAACTAATAAATGTATGAGGAGGCAGCGAGAGTCCCAGAGGGCTTGGGGCAACCAGGACGCACCTAGAGACCACTCCCCTACCCCAGGGGTCTGAGGGATGGAGAGACAGAAGGGAAGGGACCAAGGCCTCCGTCTGGGTCGGAGCCCCTAAGGACATCCCATGGGGAGTGGGTGGGGTGGGCAGGTGGGCCCTTTGATGGGTCTGGGGTGCCATTTGAAGGTGGGAGTGAACAAAGAAAGTTCGGGGGTAATGGGGTTTTGGTTTTCTGGTATGAAAATGTGTATCTCCCTCAAATACGTAACTCTGAGAATAAACATTCATCTTTGGGAAGTATCTATGTATCTGACATGTCTGTGTCCAGGTTTAAGCTAACAGGATGCCCATCACTTGTTCCCTCCCGAAGACCCAGAGAGCAGAGGTTCATCTCAGAGGAAACTAGACTTTGGCAACCAGTCCAGGGGTGGGTATGAGACAGTCCCAGGCCCCAAGCCTGTGAAAGCAAGGTGCCCCTTGATGGGGAAGCTGACACTAGGGTCCCACAAGGAGGGGCTCTCTGGGGTCACAGCAGTGGAAGGTGAAAGAGGCTCTTTGGGAGGTGGTGAGGTCCCCATTGTGAGGTATGTGAGCAGATGGTCAGCTGGAGTCTAAGGGCCCTTCTGGCTCTTGGTTCCTTGATTTTTGCTTACCCACTATTTCTGTGGCTCTGGCTGAGGCAGACTTCTCCGGGCTTGAACAGCCCCATTTCTCCCTGACTCAGCCCCTCCACTGCATCTCCAGGCCTATCCTGGCTGGACAGTCTCACCCCCCTCCTTTCTTGCCTCCCAGAACCACCCACCAGTCTTCTTCCATTCTGGCATTTAACTCCCAGCCTTCAACATGAGCCTCCCGTGCTCTAAGGCTGCTAGTGTCTCTCTTTGCCTCAGGGTCAAAGTCCAGTTTCTCAGCCTAGAGTTCAAGCTCCTTCATGATTAGTGCGCTCAGGATTTCCCATCTTCTCCCCATACCCCTCCCTCCCTCCTGCCCTGTCTTCAGCCCTCTGGGATACCTTAGAGAGTGGCCCCTACCCTTCATCTTGGGGTGCTGTCGGCCAGACAGGGAAGCAGCCCGATGAGTTGCCATCTGAGCCATGGTTTCCCCATCTGTGAATGAGGATCAATGCTATCTGCCCTCTCAGGGTTGCTGGGAGCAACTGGGATGATGGCCACCTACACAGGGCTGCTGGGCACACAGGGGCTGAGACAACAGCCCAACTTCCTACCACTCTGCTTGCCTGCTTTTGTCTCCTGAGTGACCCGCTGGTGCTGGGCCAGGCCTCTGTCCGATTTCTGGCTTCTCCAGACGCCAGTCCAGGCCGGGCCAGGCTGACTCATACACAGGATCGTGGGCACAGCAGCAGTGCCATTCTGCAGTTGCTATTTATAGCTCTCAGGCCACGCTCTCAGCCTCTGGAGCCAGGGGAAGACAGGCCCCAGAGTCCCCTCCTCATTCTCCCTGGGGCACAGGGGCTCAGCTCCCCACCCCAGCACCCCAAATTAGGACAGTGGTACCCCCTTCTCCATGGCCAGACTGGATAGCTCTGGCTTTCATGAACATAGGGATGTGTGTGGCAGTCACCAGCTGTGTCCCCTCTGGGAACCAAGGTGCAGAGAAGGGAACCTGCTCACTGGAGGTGGCCCAGCTGGGAAAAAGCTGGGCTGGCACTGGAACTCCACTGGGCTCTTTTTTTTTTTTTTAATATTTTATTTATTTATCTTTAGAGGGGAAGGAAAGGAGAGAGGGAGAGAAACATCAATGTATGGCTGCCCCTCGTGCGTCCCCTGCTGGGAACTGGCCTGCAGGGAACTGGTCTGCAACCCAGGCATGTGCCCTGACTGGGAATCGAACCGCGATTGTCAGGCCCGTGCTCAATCCACTGAGCCACACCAGCTAGGGCTCCACTGGGCTCTTAAGTCACAACCCAGCCTTCTAACCCAGGGACCTGTACCTGACCTTCAACTGTTCCTGTCCTGCAGAAGTCCTCTCAATTGCAAAAGTTAGCTGTTCACCTACACTGTCCCAGCTCACCTGGCCTTGCAGACCGGGGGACTTCTCCCTGTCCCAATGTTCCAGGCAGGGACCATACTGTCATTTATGGCCCCTCCCTGCTCCCAGCCCAGCATAGCTGCCTGGTGAAAGGTAGGCAGCTGGATCAAATTCTCTGCTCTCTGTGCTCCCCGGATTAATGCAATTATGCAGGCAAAGCAGAGGCTGAGCCCGACGATGGCCTCTCTCAGATATAGCTTGGCCCACCAAGGTATTTCATTTGTTTTTAAGTTTGGTGTCAACGTTTTTAAAATAGGGAGATCATTTTTCAAAACCCAGTCTGCATGGAAAAAGGAATGGGCTGGCATCCAAGAGCCTGAGTTCTGCCGGTCAGCGTCTGCAGGAGCTGGACCCCTCCCCAGAGTGGAAGTTGCCAGTTCCTGGCCAAAGCCGTCCACCTGGCCCCTGGAGGAGTCTTGAGTCACTTACTGCTCAGTATACGGGCTGTGCTTTGATCATCATCTCCAAGGAGCAGAGTTACTGAAGACTTCAATACCGACAGGATGAATCTCTTTAACGCTTGAGTCTTTTTACTGAGAGCTAGGGCTGCTTCAGTCAGTCAAAAAAAGAACTGTGACCTGCAGAAAGACCTGGGGGCCTTTGCACGGGCTGCTTCCTCTGCTGGAAAAGCTTTTCCCTCATCTTGGGACTCACACTTGGCCCTCACAGATTTCCCCCCTGACCAGGCCACCAAAGCTGCCCCTGCTAAATTCATTCCCGCCTCCCTTTACCTTGTTTTTTGTCCTTAGGGTGCTAATTGCTCCCTGATATTGATCATATGTTGACATGTCTCCCTCCCTAGAATGTGAGCTGCCTTTTGTGGATCTCACCCAGGGCGATCCTGTCCCCAGGAGACACTGGGTGGTCTGGAGACATCTGTGATTGCCACACCAGGGGTGCCCCTGGCACCACAAGGGTTGGGACCAGAGATGCTGCTCAACACCCGTGTTCAAATGGCCCCACACAGAGAATGACTTGGCACCCCAGTGCCCCTCGGGGAGACCCTACTTTGGGGGCCAGCTTATTGGGCCAGTTTCTGGGCCTGCCAGCCAGACCCTCAAGGGAGACGGCCTTTCTCGTCTGTGGTGGCTGTGTACTCTCCTCACAATGCAACTCCTCTGTTGTGCCCGCCAATGCACCCAAGTTAATCAGGGGCCCTGAACTGCCCACCCGCTCAACCCAGTTCTCTCCTGCCAGGCTGGGCATGCAGCGATCACTTCAGCCCAAGGCCACAACACCAGGACCTGCCTGGTCAGCTCTTTTTGCTCAGGGAGCTGTGGAAACCTGAGGGTGACAGACAGAGCAGGTATCCCTGCTCCAGCAGAATTTGGCCTCAGCACCCTGACCACCCAGAGAAGGGTTCTAGGGTCTTCACAGAACTGAGCCCTCCTCTGCTCAGGAGCTCCCCCTCCCCCGCTTGCCTGCAGGTAGCTCTGGGAAGATCAGATGAATTGGTCACTGGCTCTGTTCTGAAGTCAGCAGGCAGCTCGGAGGGCATGGGCTGGAGCAGATGGGGTACACATCCCTCTTAGGGGGGCTGAGGACCCACACTGATGGCCAGGGTAGGTCTGATGGCAGTGTGTGCTGGGAGACACTATCTAGTTTGTTGCCTGCTTTTTGGGCTCTGAAGATGCAAACAGGGCCATAAATTGGTGCTCTCCCTTTCCCACCCCACGATAACAACTTCTCCACGAGAAATGCAAACAGCAGACAACAGAAGCCCCGACACACTGTTATTATGGTTGATTCAATCCATGAGGTCTGGATGCCGCCTTCTAATTTTCTTTTCTTTTGTCTGCAGATCAAGCAGGGGAGCCTGGTTGACTCCATCCAGCTGTTGCCTGTGCTGTGAGCCCCTATTCAGGGCAGACCGCAGAGGGTGCTAGGCCACAGCTGGTTCACTCTGTGGGGTGGGGCCACTGGGCACCGTGGGGTGCTGAGCAACATCCCTGCCCCCTACTCCATGCCAGGAGCACCTCATATTGTGACACCAATGTCCCCAGACATAGCCCAGTGTCCCCCGGGGGCAGAATCACCTGGATTGAGAACCAGAGTTCAGGAAGACTCCTGAGAAGGAATATCTGTGTCCACAGCCATGTGACATCTCTTTGATGTCAGAAGTTGCATAGATATGGACAAGCCCTTTGGGGTCAATGTCCTGTTTTGTGGTGAGTGCTGGTTCAGGGCCTCAGGTGGTACCTGACGTACAGTCCTACTCAGGCCAAGTTCCTCTCACCAACCACATGGCAGAGCTCCCTTGTCTGAGCTCAGGGAGCAGTGGAGCCACTGAGCTGGCCTCTGAAGACCCTGGATTTGGCCACCACTGGAAGGAGGACCTCAGCCATTAGCATTGCTTCTTTAGCCTCTGCCAGGCGGGCCAACCACTCTCCTCACCCCACCGTGGAGATGTTCGGATCCTTGGCCAATGTGGAGAAAACTGACCCAAACCAGCCAAGAGACAGACACATCACTCCCATGGCTGGCTGACCCGCAGTGGCTCCTAGAAGCAGATTCCAGGGCTGACCCTGCTCCTCTGACCACTGCAGGCAGGAGGGGCAGCCTCTGGAGGCTGGTGGGACAGCTTGCGTCTTTTCCTGCAACCCCGCCTGCCTAAATCACTCAAGGTCTCAGGGTCACCACATGGCCCAGAAGCAGATTTGCTGGGGCCGATGGGACCCCAGGGAGAGAGGAGCAGCTCAGAGCAGGGTCGCTTGCTCACACCCAGCAGGACAGGCACAGGCACACTGGGGAGTGAAAATGACAGGACTCGGGGCAGTGATGCCCTAACTGAAGGGCGTACAAACAGGATACTTGGGTCTTTCCTTCCTCGCTGGTGTGGCCATGCTCTTCCTGGGCCTGCTGGTCCAGAAGCCAGCTCAGAGTGAGGGTGGAACGTGACCTTGAAGGTTCCCCTTGGGAACAGGAGACGGGGACGTGGTAACTGGTTGGAGGACAGGCTGTGGTACCATCAGGGCCGGCCTGGGGAACAAATGGCTGGTGGGGAAGCAGCTGTATGTGCTTCTGGTGACAGGGAAGGATCCCTGGAACAGACTGATTTGCCCCAATGTGGGGTTCCCACTGGATTCAGGGGGACAGCCTTCTCATACGGGAGGCCCTGGGCCTCTACCTGGTCCCCTGCACAGTTCCATCCCCCCAGCTAAAGGCAGACCTGGGTCTGGTGACCTGCCCACCTGGAACCTTCCAGCTCCTGGGTGAAGTGGGGGCAGGTGGAGGCCACAGCACCGGGCTCAGGACACTTTTGTAAAGAGGATGATGTTCCCACACCCGTGGGATCATTTTCCTGGCTTGGGGTCAGGGCCAGGCCTCGAGGAGTTGTGAAATGGGTCCCCAGTAAAAATTTTAGATAGAAGTTTCTAGAAACAGGCCCAATACTTCTGGCAGCACCAGGGTGAGAGCCAACAGAGTAAAAGTGGGAGATTTCAAACACACACCCCTGCTCCCCCACACTCACAACAGAGGTGGCCAGGGCCCTGGCAGAGGTTGCGCCCTCTTGAGTCTCGTGCCCAGTGGGCTAAGCAGGAAACAGCTGGCCAGCCCCTGGGGTGTCCACCCTTTGGTAAGCCACTAGCTGCTCCTGGATCTCTGAGCATGACCAGAGTAATGAAAAGAGGCCCCTCCAAGCCCAGGGCCATGGGAGGAGGGACCTATTCTTGTCAGAAGCTTAAATGGCCCTATTGCAGTTCTTCCTGGCACTGGTGAACACAGGAAGGAAATTCAAGATTTCAGAAAGGCGCACACCTGGGCCTCCCAGCCAACTCAGGGGGAAAGAACAGTGTAATGAGCTCCAGCAGCCCAGGACAGAGCCAGGCGAAGCTGAGGCCGGGCAGGAGAATCCGGCCCAGGTTGCCAGGCCCCAGCACCATCCAGCCACACCTCCAAGCCAAGCCAAGCCAATCCCCCAGGAAAGGCTCGACCCACTCCTACTCCCCAGGCATGCTCCAGGTTGCTGGGACAACCATGGAGGCTAATGAGAGGTTGCCACAGTGCCGAGTTTACACCAACCACTTGGCTGTTAGTCTCTGCTCTCCTGCATTATCTGGGACTGGCTTCCCATTTGTCTGCTGGGGGGAACTGAGTGTAGTGGGGGGAAGATGGGCCCCACAGCCTGTAAGGCCCATCGTGCTCCAAAGACCCTGGGCAGACATGGGGTTATGAACCAATGGCCAAGCTGCCTCCCAGCCCTGCTTACATATCTCCCAGCCCGTGGGTCTATTCCCTTAGGAAACCCACACGCTCCCCTGGCCTAGCAACCCCAGCTCCCAGGAGGGCAACCTCCCCACTAGGGGGACAGCACCAGAAGGCAGAGGAGGAGAGAATGGTCCTCAGGCACCTGGGGACTCTGCCCGTTCCCACAGAGGCAAAGCTTCAGGCGGCAGGAGTCACAGAGCTGCCCCACCTAACCGCACAATGGACGCTCCATGCTGGCGGCCTCCTCTGTTATCAACAAAGCAGGTTGGGGGCAGAGGACAGAAGCCTCAGAGCCTCCAACAGCTCCTGTCCTGGTCCACACTGGGGACGGTCTTGGCCTGACCCCATGGGATGCCTGGCCCTACCTTTCAGGAGAGTCGTCAGATCCCCATGCCCAGGTTGACATGGTCACACGGTTTCGGTAAATACCTTTAAGTGAAGTGTTTTACAAGTAGGAGTGTTGCCCTGAGGCTCGGGGTGTAGAATCTAGGGTCCAGTCTGCTCTTGGGTGGCCCCTCTGTGGATAGGCAGCAACTGAGAGCCTGAGCTCCCCGCTGGGGGAAGGCGGGGCTGGGGGATGTGGCCTGTGTCCAGCCCGGTGCTCCCACAGGGTGGGGTGACTATGATGAATAACGATGGCAACAGGGTGTTCACCACTTGAGGAAGACCATACCGGCCAGCACGGTGTAGCCCAGCACCAGGAAGAGGACTTTGAGCAGGCGGTCATTCTTCTCCTCCAGCTCCTTCCCCAGGATCTCAAAGAAGGTGACGAAGAGAAAGGTGCCTCCCACCAGGCCCTGCAACAGCACTGAAGCCACGCTGCTGGGCACGTCCTGTGCACTCTGGATGCCCAGGCCAATGCTGATGCCCAGGGGGATCATGGCGCTCACAGTGACTGCCAGCTTGGCTGCTTCCCTCAGGGGCATAGAGCTCCGGGCCATGTTGATGCCCAGGGCCACAGCCACCAGCGTCTCATGGATGGCCACACCCACAAACAGGCTCACCACCTTCTCCCCCTCCTCCTGTAGGCCCAGGGCCAGGCCTTCAAAGATGGAGTGGGCCGACAGCGCGAAGACCAAGCTGAGGAGGCGCAGGGGGCTGGAGCGAGAGAGCTCCTGGACACTCAGCCCATGGCTGTGGGTGTGGGGCTCCATGTAGAGTGCGTGGCCCCTTGCAGCCCCCATGAAGGGGCTCTCGTACTCTGAGTCGCTGCCAGCATCTGAGCCAGCGTTGAAGGTCTCCATGTCAATGAAGGAAGGCTTCTCCTTGCGGAAGGTCAGGATGAGCTGCTCCAGGAAGATGGTCATGAAGAAGCCTAGCATTACAATGGTCTCCGCTAGTGGGTAGTCAGTGCTGATGTGCCCGAGACTCAGAACTTTCTGGAGCTGGAGTGGAGCCCGTGAGAGAGGGAGGGAAAGGGAGAGAGGCAACAGAAGTTAAGAGGCAGGGACTCAATGCAACAGGGTTCATCTGACCTCACTGTTCAATTAGCAAAGCACAGCAATGCCCAATTCATTTAAGTTAAGAAAAAGTGGGGGGAGGATGGTGGGTTAATCCATAATGAGTTAAATAAAACGCTACTATAAAGTGAATCACAATCCTCACTAACGGGAACTGGACTGTGACCTACAAAGACATGTCTACCCAGAACCTCAGAATGTGACTTTATTCAGAAGAAGGGTCTTTGTTGATATAAAGTATTAAGGGCTGAATTTTGTCCTCCTCCCCAAATAAAAATTCATGTATTTTTAGTCTATGAGCCCCTAGCACCTCAAAACTAACCATAATGGAAGAGAGGATCTTTAAAAAGGTGATTCTGTCAAAGTGAGGCTGTCAGGGCGGGCCCCACGCTAATAGGACCGTGGACAGGCAGAGGAAGGGAGGTCTGAGGAGGACCCAGCCCTGACAGCAGCTTGAGCTCGGACTGCCAGCCTCCAGCACTGGCAGAGAGTGAGTGCTGTTTAGGCCACCCAGACGGGAGGGGCTTTCCTTGGCCGCGTCCGGAAACTCGGGCATAAGATAAAGATCTTGAAATAAGCTCATCCTGGTCCCTTAATCCAATGACAGCTGTCCTTATGAGACAGAAGAGGAGACACAGACAGACACACAGGCAGATGGCCATGTGAACCCAGAGCCAGATATTGGGGTGACCTATCCGTAGGCCAAGCATTGCTGGTCACCCCCAGAAGCTGGTGGAAAGCATGGAACAGATGCTCCCTCACAGCCTCAGGAGGACTCAGCCTGCCAACACCCCGATCCAGGACTTCCAACCTCTGCCACTGTGGTATCAACCAGCCTTTCCAGCCCAGACGCCTGCAAGCGGTTTGCTTCCATATAACCCAGGTGGCGCTCTGTTTCCAGAGTCCTCCCATCACTCTGACCTCTGGGGTAAACGCCTGTCAGCACATTCAGCCACACATCAGATCCCTTGAGTTTGGTGCCATTCAACAGAATGTTCTAGATAACAGACACATTTCCTCTCTGTGCTGGGAGGGAGCCTCTAGCCATGTATGAGGACTTGAAACATGGCTGGTGTGGCTGAGAACTGGCATGCTGACTTGTACTTCATTGCAATTCACTGAAACTTGACTAGTTAGGTATGCCAAGCAGCTGCCACACTGGACGGTGAAGCTTTGGACACTATCCAGAAAGGTGGGCAGTGGGCTCCTCAAGGCCTGGGTTAATTTTCCCTGGATTCATAAGGATGTTTGCACATACCAAGCCCTTCCCAACCTTGGGGCTGTGCTGCCAGCTCTGTCCAAAACATTCCCCCTTCAGCTTTACTCACAGCTGACAGATGCTCATGCTTTGGATTTTGGCTTACATATAATTTCCAAGCACTCAACCTCCACCAGGTGCCCCAATCTCTCCTTTCCCAGAACCACCTTCGTGACAACCTGTGAACATGCACACATACATGTACGTGCACATACACCAAGTGTGCGCACCAAGTGTGCGTCGGGGCTGGAAAGGCTGGTTGATACCACAATGGCAGAGGTTGGAAGTCCTGGATCAGGGTGTTGGCAGGCTGAGTCCTCTTGAGGCCGTGAGGGAGCATCTGTTCCATGCTTTCCACCAGCTTCGGGTGGTGACCAGCAGTGCTTGGCCTATGGACAGGTCACCCCAATATCTGGCTCTGTGTTCACACACCAAGAGGGTGCTTCTGCCCTCAGGGGAGAGGTGCGATGTCTGCAGACATTCTGGTTGTCATGGCTTGTCGGGGGAGGTGTTGATATTAGAACAGGGTCATTCTCTGCCGGGGGCCATTCTGGGCTCTGTGGAGTGTTAAGCAGTGTCCCTGACACCTATGCACTTGATGATGACAACCACAGATGACCCCAGACATGCCTAGTATCTCTTGGGGTGAGTCACCCCGTACTGCAGCAGAAGGCTGTGCTTCTATAAAGAAGCCCTTTCATTCATTTGCTAAATGTCTCATGGAGGCCACCATGTGCCCCACTGGGGGAAACACTAGCCTATGACATACACAAACTACCCCCAGAGGGACAATCATGGATTGGAAAAGGCAAGGCAGACACACCAAGGCCAAGGCTTGTGGCAGCAGTCCCCATGGGGTGCCTGGGATCTGGGTGCTGCTGGCCAAGCCTGGGTGAGGGCTGGGAGGGACTTGAGCTTCTGGGGCATGTGAAGCCTGTGCGTAGGGGTGCAGCATGGGAGTGGCTTTAGAGGACCCTGACAAAGCCATGTACACTGAAGGGGGACAGGGAAGAACAAGGCCATTGCAGTGGGCCAGGCCTGAGATAGGAGGGTAACAAAGGCACACACCATGGGAACGTGGTCAATGGGGGAGGGTTTGAAAGTGGCACTGGGGTGCAGAAGGCATCAGACAAGACTCTGATTTAACCCCATTGATGCCAAGTGTATGAACAAATATCCTGTGCTGCACAACAAAGGAACATGAGCTTAGCAGTATAATGCAATGCAACAGCATCATCTCACAGATATGTCAGAAATCTAGGCACAGGTTGCAGCTTGAGGATGAAGCAAGCAGCCATACTGGGAAGGCCCATGGGGCAAGGGACTGAGGGCAGCTCCCAGCCAACAGCCAGGAAGAAACTAGGCCCTGACTCTGACAACCAGGAGGGGCCTGAACCCACCTTACAACTACATGAACTTAGCTGACCCCTCCCCAGTTGAATCCTGAGGTGATATCACACAGTACAGTGAAGACCTCAATTACTGCCTCCTGAGAACCTAGAACAGAGAACCCAGCTAAGCAGTGTCCATCCTTTGACCCACAGAAACTGTGAGATAATAAATGTGTGTTGTCTTAAGATATTAAATTTCATTTCATATGTTTCACAGCAGCAGCTGACTGATACAGGAGTTGAAGAGAGGCCACAACTCCCAGCTTCAGGACAAAGTGTACACTACCAAGGGTAGGTGGTCTGGTCAGGTAATGACTAATGAGCTCACCAGCTGGGAACACCAGACCTAGTTTAAACCCCTTGTTTATCTAGGCCCAGAGAGGAGAAGCAACCAACTCATGGTCACACAAATTCATGTACTACTTCCCATCACCCTTGTGGTGTCAAGGCACCCACTGAGTTCAAAGTCAGAGTTGAAACAGTATCCGAGACTCTTGGCCATAAGGTGCCAAGAGCTTCTGAGACCACCAAGGGAGCCCTTACCTTTTCCCTCACGGCAGGCAGTAAAGCATTGAAGCAGGTGGCCAGAAAAACCCCACCTCCAAAGGTGTTGCAGAGTGAGAGGATCTTTTTTGAGCGGTGGGCCTTCTCAAAATCTGTCTCAATGATCTTCACTGGGAGCAGCGAACCCAGCAGCATGAAGAAGAACACGCCCACCATGCAAAGAATTTTGACCACCAACAGCTTCACCATGGTGATGACCTGGGCTGCTGTGGTCGCCACAGGGCCAAACCATGTGTGGGTGCACCTCCTGTCCCTCGATGCGCTACCGGGGGCTCATGCCTCAGTCCAGCCACTGTGAACACCAAAGACAATTGTGTTAGCTGTTGATTTATCTGACCAACTCTAGTGGTCAAGCCCATTCTCCCTCAGTCCAGCAGTCACTAGCCATTAATTTAAATGGCTAGTGTTTAATTAATGTTTACATTAATTAAAATTAAAGAAATTGTAAAATTCAGCCCCTTGAACTACCTGTATTTCATGCACACGGGAGCCATGTGAGTCTGGAAGACAATGCACTGGATGGCACAATGTCTCCATTGTCGCAGTGTTCTATCAGGTGGTGGCATTCCGCTGGCTCCCTGCTGCCCTCATGTAAAATCCAAATGCTTCAGCCTGAGGCGAAGGCTCTGGGCCAATAGCTGGCTCCTGCACTTCACCTTACGGATTCACCTCACCACCCTCTGCTCTTTGTGGTCCCTAAATGTGCCAAACCTGTTCCTGCCTCAGGGCTTTTGCGCCCGGTTGTTCTCTTGGCCTGGGACACTTCCTTCTCCAATGTTCAGTAACATCTTATCTTTCAGGTCATTGCCTCTGGGACCCCTCAGAAGGGCCTCCCCTGGCCGACCTCTGCCGTAAACCATGTCCTATGTACCTGCCCAGTTGTGGGGCATACACCAGAGACTCAGTGACCACTGGCTGAACATATGGATGTGCTGAAGTATGTGGACCTTTTTACATAACTCAGTGAGCCAAGGTGGAGCACTTTTCATCCTGGACCTGAAAATACCAGTTAGTACGAGGGACCTTGGCTGCTTCCCGGTCCTCATGGTCTTCTCCCAATTTCCAATTTCTCACTGCCTGAACCCGCACTTCAGTGAGTTCTTCAGGACTCAACTCAAATGCCACCAGTTGAGTTTTCTCCCACCCCCTCCCCTGTCATTTTTCTGGTCTTATTTGTGCTAAGGAGAACAGTATAATTTAAAGTCCCTGGGTATCCTCACTCGCTGTAGCCTTCAGGTATACAGTAGTCGCCCACTAAATATCTGCTGGTCAACTTATGCCCCAATCTGTGGAGTAGGGGCAAGGTGGCCTTGATGCTATCAAACCAAGGGCTGATGGGGATGGGCGAAGACGGGACGGGCTCATTCATTCATTCAGGACTTATTGAGCGCCTTCTGTGTGCCCCGCACGGCACCAGACGCAGAGGACGAAACTCATCTGGCCCCGCCCGAGAGAGGACAACTCGCGCTCTGCTGGGAGAATCGGAAGCAAATCACACAGATCTCGTCGATTATGGTGAAGCAGAGGACGGAAGCTTCGTCTGGGCCTAGGCTAACGGGAGGCAGTGTCCGCCAGGCCCCGGCCCCACCCTAGCCCTCAGGTCCCGGCCCGTCCCCAGACCACACGTACCTCTACGGGGCCCCTAGCTCGCCCACTGGCGCCTCCCACAGCTCAACGGCAGGGTGGTCTAGTTTCCACAGTGTTGCTCCAGGCAGAGGGTCCGGTCGCCGCGCCGTAGCCAACGTCCCGCCCACACCCCTGGTTATTGGCTTCTCCAAACACCGTGAGCCTAAAGGGTCTTTCTATTGGCTGAAGTGGCTGCCACTCATCCTGCAATTTCCACCTCTCCTACCGGCACAGAAAAGTAGTTTTCTCTCGTTAAAGCGTAGGTACAGCCACCGAGTGGTTTCGGAGGGAAACTCCAACCTTAGTACAAAAGTTCCGGGAGGGTTTGGCTTCCAGAGCTGTCCAAGGGCACTTGGTGCTGAAGACATCTAGGATCGAGCCTTGGCCATTGACTGGGAATGATTTCCTATGGACTCCTATGGGAGTCCATCTCTGAGCGTCCTCGCTGCTGATGCCCTTCTCGTCGTCTTAACAAGCAGATTTATCGGTTCAACAGCTCTGCCTACTCTGCCGGGACCTTTCCTAGGAGAACATCTGTGAGCAAAACACAGATCTCCCTCCTTTTGGAACTTACGTTCTAGGGGAAGACATGGAAGATAATGGATAAACATAATAAATAATGGAGTTATGTCAGAAGGTGACAGTGCTCTGGAATAATAGAGCCCAGTGAGGATGGTGGGTTTCTATTTAAAATAAGATGCCCTAGCCCTGGCTGGTGCGGCTCAGTGGACTGAGCGCGGGCCTACAGACCGAAAGGTTGCCAGTTTGATTCCCAGTCAGGGCACATGTCTGGAGCGCAGGGTGGATCCCCAGTTAGTGGCATGCGAGGTGGCAACCATCAATGTGTCTCTCGTGCATTTATGTTTCTCTTCCCCTCTTTCTCCTTCCCCCCTCTCTGAAAATAAACAAAATGTTTTAAAAATAAAATAAGATGCCCTAGTAGTTCTTATTGAGAAAGAGATAGTTGAGGAAAAAAATTGAACATGGAGAAGTTAGTCAAGCGGGTACGTGGAGGCAAAGCGTTCCACACAGACAGTACTGGAGAGTACAAGGGTGGAGAGCAGGAGTGTACAGGAATGCCAGCGAGGTGAGGAAGTGCATATGGAGATAAGGGGAGGGCACTGAAAGGACTTTGAGGGAAACGGGGAGCCACTGCAGAGTTTTGATCAGAGATGTGACAGATCCAACATATTTTACTGGAATCATTTGATTATTGTGTCGGTGCTGTTGATAGGTCAAGTCAGATGAAAGCTGCAAATTGACTATCGATATTATTTTAGATGAGGAACTTTGGGGGGGGGAGCTATCTTTATTTCTTTATAAAAGCAACCAGAACTATGAAGGAGATGGCCATATTCGTTTGTTAACTAAAATCTTATTGTCAGCCTACCATGAGCAAGCCATGGGGAGAGATGCTAAGAATAATGTGGAGAATGCCATAACGTGGACGAACCTTGAGAACATCATGCTCAGTGAAATCAGCCAGACACAGAAGCTCAAATGCTGTGTGATTTCACCCGTAGAGGAGTGAATCATATACATAGAGACGGAAAGAAGACAGTGGATCCCAGGGGCTGGGAGAGGGCATGGAGAGCTGGTACTTACTGGGGACAGAGTTTCAGGTTGGGAAAATTAGATGGTGAGGATGGTTCCATGACATTGTAAATGAGCTTAATGCCACTGAGCTATATGTCTAAAATGTTCAAAATAATCAAATCAATATTACCATTTCAAAAATTTTTATTTGTGCCCTGGCTGGTGTGGCTCAGTGGATTGAGTTCTGGTCTGCAAACAAAAAGGTCACCAGTCTGATTCCCAGTGAGGACACATGCCTGGGTTGCAGGCCAAGTTTCCAGTAGGGGACGTGTGAGAAGCAACCACACATTGATGTTTCTCTCCCTCTCTTTTTCCCTCCCTTCCCCTCTCTCTAAAAATAAATAAATAAAATCTTTTTGAAAAAGAATTAAAAATTTTTTATTTGCACAGAATAGTTTCCTTCTTCATCACTCCCCAAACTGGGGATTCTTGTTGGCATTGAACTGGCACCAACAACCATTCTTGGCAATAATAAAGGTCAGAGTCAATATTATTATATTAAAGTCCTGTTTCTATTACAAAAAAATTGTTAAAATGGAGTTAAAAAAAGACAAAGTCCATGCCCTCACAATTCACAGCCTAGTTGGAAAGATGAGTATTGATGAGATATTGGTAATAATGTACTGCAGTAAGCAGATTTCTTAAATGACTCCAAATGATCCGACATCTTTGTGTTCATACCCTGGAGTGATTCCCTCTCCTTGAGTGTGGGTTGCACCTGGTGACTTAATTCTAAGAGAATACGGCAAAATTGTAGGATGTCATGACTTCTGTCTTGCTAGCACGACCCTATTGTCTTTTCAGCCTGCATGCTTTGATGAAGCAGACTGACTTATTGGAGAGGCACACGTGGCAAGGAACAAAGAGTGATGTCCTGCCAACAGTCAGCAAGAGACTGAGGCCTTCAGTACAAGAGCCGGTAAGAAACTGAATCCTGCCAAGAACCCCACAAGTGATCCTGGAAGGGGATCCTGCCCGTATTAGGCCTTCGCATGACTGCTGCCCAGCAGACACCTTGATGGCAGCCTTTGAGAGATCTGGAAGCTGAGTGCTCAGAGATGTGTATCTGGATTCCTGATGCATAGAAATCGTGAAATAATGAATGTTGTTAATGCAAGCCACTCAGTTTGGGGGTAATTTGTCATGAAGCAAAAGATAAATAATAAACATATGTAAAGGAAATACTACAGGTTGCACTAAACGCCATGAAGAAGAAAAAAAGAGAAAGATGGTCCTGTATACCAGGGGAATGGTAAGAAGTAGGGGATGCAGAGAAGACACAATGCAAAAGTAGAAGAGTTTGCAGTACTGGCTGAACATGAGTGAGCAATGGAGAGATGGGAGATCAGGGACTGTCCTACAGACCATACCAGGGAATTTAGATCTTACCATAAATGCAATGTGATTCATTAAGGGCTTTTACACAGGTGAGGGTTGTGATCCAATTTATGTTTTAAGGTTATACTGACTCCTGTGTAAAGAAAGACTGAATTGGTCTTAGCTGGTGTGGCTCAGTGGATTGAGCGCTGGTCTGAGAACCAAAGGGTGGCTGATTCAATTCCCAGTTGGGGTATGTACCTGGGTTGCGGGCTGGGTCCCCAGTAGGGGGCGCTTGAGAGGCAATCACACATTGATATTTCCCTCCCTTCTTTGTCTAAAAATAAATAAAATCTTAAAAAAAAAAAAAGACTGAATTGGGGGGAGGGGAGATGGGTGGAGGCTGAAGAGGGCATAAGGGGGATAAATAGTAATGAGGAAAATACAATAAAAAATGAAGAAAAAACAATTCACTTTGTACAGCACGAGCACAATCTTGCTTAAAGTCATTTGTCACATGCCCACATGCCGGAGGCGTAGCTACTAAAATGACCAGCATTTTTATCTCTGGGGCAAGATAAAAATTTTCATTGATAAAAAAACCAAAACTGAATTGTAAGGGAGCCAGAGTGGAAGCAGGGAGACTTGTTAAAAATCACTTAGGCAGGAACTGAAACTGGTTTATTTTGTATTTTTTAAGTTTTTAAAAATTTATTTTAGAGAGAGAGAAAAAGAGATATTGATTTGTTGTTCTATTTTTTGATGCATTCGTTAGTTGCTTTTTGTAAGTGCTCTGACCAGGGATCAAACCCACAAGCTTAGTGTCCTGGGACGACTCTCTACCCAACTGAGCTACCCGGCCAGGGCCTGGGAGCTAGTTTAGATGAAGGCATTGGCAGGAGTGATGGAGGGTGGTGGGTGACTTTGAGAAATATCTTGGAGGGTGAATTGATAGGACTTGGCACTGGTTTCTCTGGGTGGGTTGCAGGGTGGGGAGGTGTCAGGGATGACTGCTGGTGTCATTCGCTAAAACAGGAAAGACTGGGGGAGGCACAGAGACTGGAGGTGCCAGAAGACTGAGTTTGGCCGTGCAGAGGTAAAGTATGAGATGTCTGTGAGTTTTTAATATTGAATGCCACTTTCTGCATGCTTTATGATAAGCACACAAGAGGTGGTAGCTATTTTTATGATTAGACACAGAGTGCCTTAACTTTTAAAAAATTTTTTAAATTGATTTTAGAGAGAAGAAGGGGGAGAGAAACATCGATTTGTGGTTCCACTTATTTGTGCATTCATTGGTTGATTCTTGTGTGGGCCCTGACCAGGGGATTGAACCCGCAACCCTGGCATAACTGGATGACACTCTAACCAACTGAGCAACCCGGCCAGAGCTGCCTTGATTTTTTTTTCTGGTTTCCATAATTTACAACAACAAAAAAGATCACTTGTATTAGTAGCACAGCAGATAAATCCCCTCTGGATGATTCCTTCCTGTAGAAGAATTAAAGATGTGCGATATTTATTCATGATTAGTCAGAGAATGAAGCTGCTCAGAGAAGGAGCTGCATGTGCTTTGGGCTTTTATTTAAGACATATTTTTTAATGGACTCTAAGACTTTTGTATGGGTGGGTATAATAGAAAAAAATACCAGCAAAGTTGGCTCTGTCGAATATTTCAAAAACCTCCTATGTTGAAAGACACAATGAACTGGCTTAAGACACAATTGAATGACCACGAGGAAATGTTGATAATAGATAGCACAGAACACTTGGTGGTGGACAAAAATTTTAGAATAAAAATGGGCCCTGGCTGGTGTGGCTCAGTGGATTGAGTGCCAGCCTGAGAACCAAAGGGTTGCCGGTTCAATTCCCAGTCAGGGCACATGCCTGGGTTGCGGGCCAGGTCCCCAGTGAGGGGCATGCGAGAGGCAACCAATCAATGTATCTCTCCTTCTCGCTCTCTCTTCCCTTCTGTCCAAAAATGAATAAATAAAAAAATCTTTTTAAAATAAAATAAAAATGGGAAGGGAGATGAACAGACAATTCATGGGAGATGAAGACGTAGAAGAACAGATGCTTAATCCATACAGATAATCATGGAAATATAAAATAAAACCATTTGAACAGCGTTGCTAAGGTATCACTGACATATAGTAAACTCCATATATTTAAAGTATACAATCTGATAAATTTTGACATATGTAT